TGCTGTTGTTGTTGCATATATACCCTTGCATGTGAACTGGCCTTGTGGCCCTTTGCTTGTGCTCAGTGTGTGTGGTGAGTTTGTGATCCACCCTGAGCTTGCTTTGCTTCTCTTGCTCTCCCCCACTTTGCCTATGGGGGTGTGTCAAAGCATATGCTTGTTATACATGTGTAGGCTGTAGTGGGGTAGCCAATATGGGGTACAGCCCCTTTTAGGGTTTCATACTTGTACCCAACTCTGTCATAGTTCATTTCATTCCTGCTGCTTGATTCTGACAAACTCGACATTCAGATGGTGGGTCTGGCGGGCCCCGGTACGCTTAGGGAGGTGGAAATCAGCGCGGACGGCAACAAGTGGGCGAAGCTGACCCGTGACGGCAGCAAGGCGATCTGGGGGATCAAGGGCAAGGAGGCGAAGGAGGTTGTGGGTGCGAAGAAGGCTATGAGGGTTCACCTCACTGCGTTGCACACCCTCGAGAAGATCACCCTCGAAAAGGTCCTTCCCGCCGACTGGAAGCCCATGACACTCTACTCATCTAAGACCAACTTTAAGAAACTCATGGCTGAGGCTAAGTAGGTGTTTGTTGGAAGAATAGGGTACAAGAATAAGATGGCTGAATGCTAGGGTACTTTTGAGAGGAGATACTTTAGCGGCTGGGAGGGGAATGGGTCAGCGACAAGGGAATGGGTTAGAAGGGAAGTGGGTTGGGGGGGGGGGGGGGGGGGGTGTGATGGTGCTGTGACTAAGAAATTATCTTTGCTTGTTTTGTGTCGTTTATTCTGATAATTGTGTTACCTGAGTATCAGTCTACACAAAAAAATAATCCAAACCATGGAATCAGGTAACTCCACAGTGATGCCTTGACCAGCCTCACGACACCTCTGCAATTTGGTTATTCTGTGCCCCATTTGCGCAACCCTCCTGTCAAAATCTACGGTACGGTATAATACACCAAGGGAGAGAGCTGCGGAGCAAAATTCCTTACGGTACTTGCATACGGTAGTTGTTTAGAAAGAGCATTACAGTCCTAGCATATTGGTAGCAATCTAGAACCTGCTTTTGAGACACCTCAAGAAGTAACCACATATCTACTGCTTTGCTCTGCCCGGTTATCAGCGTGTCGAGCAGTACCGCCCTACTGGTATCGCTCTAGAACCTTCTCAATCAGAAGTGAGAAGGCAGCAAAGCCAGCACATCCCATGCATGCTGCTTGCGGGCCCGCTGCAGGAGAAGGCAGCGAGAAGGAGGTAGAAGGGAGTGGGAGAAGAACATGAGTTTCTTGGCATGCCTAAAGGAACGGGACAGACAGCAAGACCAGCACACACCCCATGCATCCTGCTTGCGCGCCCGCTGCAGTCAATGAGTGGGGTGGGGGTGAGGAAGGGGAACCAGGGAAGAGGGGAGAAGGGAGATGGAGCGTTAGTGTTGCGGCACGTCCTGAAAGACAGGATAGTCAGGGGGTGGGGTGTGGTGGGATGCGGTGGGGTGTGGTGGGATGCGGTTATCTGGCTGACATCCCACCTCTAGCGGACAGCGCTCCTCCCGTGACACAGCCGGAAATGGCTATGTTGACCTCATCATGCCTCGCCCTCATCATGCATCGCCCTCATCATGCGTCGCCCTCATCATGCGTCGCCCTCATCATGCGTCGCCCTCATCATGCGTCGCCCTCATCATGCGTCGCCCTCATCATGCGTCGCCCTCATCATGCGTCGCACTCATCATGCATCGCCCTCATCATGCGTCGCCCTCATCATGCGTCGCCCTCATCATGCGTCGCCCTCATCATGCGTCGCCCTCATCATGCGTCGCCCTCATCATGCCTCGCCCTTGCCTTCTCCGCCATGCACTCTGACGCCGAGAAGATGAGAAGATTGCTCCCATCTCTTACACCGTACGAAGTAAAGCCGTGGGGTACACCCTAAACTCACCTCTAGCTGAGAGTGCTCCCCCAGTGACGCAGCCGGCAATGACGGCACACGCAGACAACACACCCACCTCTGGCTGACAGTGCTCCCCCGGTCACACAGCCGGCAATGACGGTGTTGACCTGTGAGGTTGACGCAACACCCACACGCAGACAACACACCCACCTCTAGCTGACAGCGCTCCCCCGGTCACACAGCCGGCAATGACGGTGTTGACCTGTGAGGTTGACGCAACACCCACACGCAGACAACACACCCACCTCTAGCTGACAGTGCTCCCCCGGTCACACAGCCGGCAATGACGGTGTTGACCTGTGAGGTTGACGCAACACCCAGACGCAGACAACACACCCACCTCTAGCTGACAGCGCTCCCCCGGTCACACAGCCGGCAATGACGGTGTTGACCTGTGAGGTTGACGCAACACCCACACGCAGACAACACACCCACCTCTAGCTGACAGCGCTCCCCCGGTCACACAGCCGGCAATGACGGTGTTGACCTGTGAGGTTGACGCAACACCCACACGCAGACAACACACCCACCTCTAGCTGACAGCGCTCCCCCGGTCACACAGCCGGCAATGACGGTGTTGACCTGTGAGGTTGACGCAACACCCACACGCAGACAACACACCCACCTCTAGCTGACAGCGCTCCCCCGGTCACACAGCCGGCAATGACGGTGTTGACCTGTGAGGTTGACGCAACACCCACACGCAGACAACACACCCACCTCTAGCTGACAGCGCTCCCCCGGTCACACAGCCGGCAATGACGGTGTTGACCTGTGAGGTTGACGCAACACCCACACGCAGACAACACACCCACCTCTAGCTGACAGCGCTCCCCCGGTCACACAGCCGGCAATGACGGTGTTGACCTGTGAGGTTGACGCAACACCCACACGCAGACAACACACCCACCTCTAGCTGACAGCGCTCCCCCGGTCACACAGCCGGCAATGACGGTGTTGACCTGTGAGGTTGACGCAACACCCACACGCAGACAACACACCCACCTCTAGCTGACAGCGCTCCCCCGGTCACACAGCCGGCAATGACGGTGTTGACCTGTGAGGTTGACGCAACACCCACACGCAGACAACACACCCACCTCTAGCTGACAGCGCTCCCCCGGTCACACAGCCGGCAATGACGGTGTTGACCTGTGAGGTTGACGCAACACCCACACGCAGACAACACACCCACCTCTAGCTGACAGCGCTCCCCCGGTCACACAGCCGGCAATGACGGTGTTGACCTGTGAGGTTGACGCAACACCCACACGCAGACAACACACCCACCTCTAGCTGACAGCGCTCCCCCGGTCACACAGCCGGCAATGACGGTGTTGACCTGTGAGGTTGACGCAACACCCACACGCAGACAACACACCCACCTCTAGCTGACAGCGCTCCCCCGGTCACACAGCCGGCAATGGCGGTGTTGACCTGTGAGGTTGACGCAACACCCACACGCAGACAACACACCCACCTCTAGCTGACAGCGCTCCCCCGGTCACACAGCCGGCAATGACGGTGTTGACCTGTGAGGTTGACGCAACACCCACACGCAGACAACACACCCACCTCTAGCTGACAGCGCTCCCCCGGTCACACAGCCGGCAATGACGGTGTTGACCTGTGAGGTTGACGCAACACCCACACGCAGACAACACACCCACCTCTAGCTGACAGCGCTCCCCCGGTCACACAGCCGGCAATGACGGTGTTGACCTGTGAGGTTGACGCAACACCCACACGCAGACAACACACCCACCTCTAGCTGACAGCGCTCCCCCGGTCACACAGCCGGCAATGACGGTGTTGAGCTGTGAGGTTGACGCAACACCCACACGCAGACAACACACCCACCTCTAGCTGACAGCGCTCCCCCGGTCACACAGCCGGCAATGACGGTGTTGACCTGTGAGGTTGACGCAACACCCACACGCAGACAACACACCCACCTCTAGCTGACAGCGCTCCCCCGGTCACACAGCCGGCAATGGCGGTGTTGACCTGTGAGGTTGACGCAACACCCACACGCAGACAACACACCCACCTCTAGCTGACAGCGCTCCCCCGGTCACACAGCCGGCAATGACGGTGTTGACCTGTGAGGTTGACGCAACACCCACACGCAGACAACACACCCACCTCTAGCTGACAGCGCTCCCCCGATCACACAGCCGGCAATGACGGTGTTGACCTGTGAGGTTGACGCAACACCCACACGCAGACAACACACCCACCTCTAGCTGACAGCGCTCCCCCGGTCACACAGCCGGCAATGACGGTGTTGACCTGTGAGGTTGACGCAACACCCACACGCAGACAACACACCCACCTCTAGCTGACAGCGCTCCCCCGGTCACACAGCCGGCAATGACGGTGTTGACCTGTGAGGTTGACGCAACACCCACACGCAGACAACACACCCACCTCTAGCTGACAGCGCTCCCCCGGTCACACAGCCGGCAATGACGGTGTTGACCTGTGAGGTTGACGCAACACCCACACGCAGACAACACACCCACCTCTAGCTGACAGCGCTCCCCCGGTCACACAGCCGGCAATGACGGTGTTGACCTGTGAGGTTGACGCAACACCCACACGCAGACAACACACCCACCTCTAGCTGACAGCGCTCCCCCGGTCACACAGCCGGCAATGACGGTGTTGACCTGTGAGGTTGACGCAACACCCACACGCAGACAACACACCCACCTCTAGTTGACAGCGCTCCCCCGGTCACACAGCCGGCAATGACGGTGTTGACATGTGAGGTTGACGCAACACCCACACGCAGACAACACACCCACCTCTAGCTGACAGCGCTCCCCCGGTCACACAGCCGGCAATGACGGTGTTGACCTGTGAGGTTGACGCAACACCCACACGCAGACAACACACCCACCTCTAGCTGACAGCGCTCCCCCGGTCACACAGCCGGCAATGACGGTGTTGACCTCGTCATGCCTCGCCCTCGCCTTCTCAGCCATGCACTCTGACGCTGAGAAGATCGCTCCCATCGCTGACACTGGTGGCTTTGCATAGCTGGAATTGCACTCACTCACCTCTAGCTGAGAGCGCTCCTCCAGTGACACAGCCAGCAATGACGGTGTTGACCTCGTCATGCCTTGCTCTCGCCTTCTCAGCCATACACTCTGATGCCGAGAAGATCGCCCCCATGACGGCAAAGGTCTTGCCTGTGTGCCAGCTGCGCTGCGCCATCTGCCTGGAGTCAAGGGCGGATAAGGGGATGGGCAGGAGGAGGCAGCACAGGAGGCAAGGGTGACGATCGCCATGCACTCTGATGCTGAGAAGATCGCCCCCATGACGGCAAAGGTCTTGCCTGTGTGCCAGCTGCGCTGCGCCATCTGCCTGATTTGAGAAAATGGAGATGGGGAAGTGGAACGAGCAGAGAGGAGGAGGTGTAGACACAAGAGGGTTGGGTTGGGTTGGGTCGGGTACATAAGCTCTCTTTCAAGAAGGTCGCTCCCATGACGGCAAAGGTCTTGCCGGTGTGCCAGCTGCGCTGCGCCATCTGCCTGCAGGAAGGGAGAGAGACACACACACACATTGCAAGAGCCCATGGTGAGGTGAGCCACGGGTGAACCAAGGGGCCACTCAGAAGGTCGCCTCGCCCCCATCACGGGCAAAGGTCTTGCCGGTGTGCCAGCTGCGCTGCGCCATCTGCCTGCAGGAAGGGAGAGAGACACACACACACATTGCAAGAGCCCATGGTGAGGTGAGCCACGGGTGAACCAAAGGGGCCACTCAGAAGGTCGCCTCGCCCCCATCACGGGCAAAGGTCTTGCCCGTGTGCCAACTGCGCTGCGCCATCTGCCTGCAGGAAGGGAGAGAGACACACACACACATTGCAAGAGCCCATGGTGAGGTGAGCCACGGGTGAACCAAGGGGCCACTCAGAAGGTCGCCTCGCCCCCATCACGGGCAAAGGTCTTGCCCGTGTGCCAACTGCGCTGCGCCATCTGCCTGCAGGAAGGGAGAGAGAGACACACACACATTGCAAGAGCCCATGGTGAGGTGAGCCACGGGTGAACCAAGGGGCCACTCAGAAGGTCGCCTCGCCCCCATCACGGGCAAAGGTCTTGCCCGTGTGCCAACTGCGCTGCGCCATCTGCCTGCAGGAAGGGAGAGAGACACACACACACATTGCAAGAGCCCATGGTGAGGTGAGCCACGGGTGAACCAAGGGGCCACTCAGAAGGTCGCCTCGCCTCCATCACGGGCAAAGGTCTTGCCCGTGTGCCAACTGCGCTGCGCCATCTGCCTGCAGGAAGGGAGAGAGACACACACACACATTGCAAGAGCCCATGGTGAGGTGAGCCACGGGTGAACCAAGGGGCCACTCAGAAGGTCGCACCCATGACTGCAAAGGTCTTGCCCGTGTGCCAGCTGCGCTGAGCCATCTGCCTGGCGTGAAGGGAGACATGCACACACATACATTTCATTACGTAAATGCACGTGGCAGCACCACACCCACAAAGACGCCCACTTGTGAATGGACTTGCATCAGACCCAAGGCAGACGAACGGCAGGGTATACAAACAGTAGTACACTGGCAGCACACAGCACTCACTTGAACCCATGCACTAGCTGCTGCCGCGTGCTCATCTCCTCCACATGCAAGGGTTACTGAAAAGCGCATGCATCAGACCCAAGGCGAACGAATGGGAATGTACTGAGTAGCTAGGCAGCACCGCAATGGCAGCACACAGCACTCACTTGAACCCATGCACCAGCTGCTGCCGCGTGCTCATCTCCTCCACATGCAAAGGTTGGTCCAAGGCACCGAACAACAGACCCATCATCACCCCCATGCCGCCACCTGCAATGAACAGCAGGAGTAAGGGTTTAGGAAACAAGAGGATGAAAAGTTGAAGGAACAGCATGTGCTCATCTCCTCCACGTGCGAAGGCTGGTCCAAAGCGCCAAACAGCAGACCCATCATCACCCCCATGCCGCTGATAACGGCTTGTTTGCACGCCACACTGGTTCATCATCTCCTCTCCTCCAGTCTGGTGTGGTGCGGGCAGATTGGCTGAGCGGCTTGATTGGATGGTGCTCTGCTGTGACACTATCGAATGTGACTATGCTCAATCACAGGAAAGCACCTTTCAACAGCACACACCCACCCATCACGCCGCTGATGATGGTTCGCACGCCGCAGTGATTCATCATCTCCTGAGCCGCCATCTCCTCCGGCGTGGTGTGGTGTGGTGTGGGCATCTTGACTGAACGGCACCGTTGACTGCTGTGACAACCATCGAATGTGACTATACTGCAACTGTACACTATTGCCTTTCAGAAAGACTCACCCATCACGCCGCTGATTACGGTGCGCACGCCGCAGTGGTTCATCATCTCCTCAGCCGCCATCTCCTCCGGTGCGGTGCGGTGCGGTGTGGTGTGGTGTGGTGTGGGCATCTTATACGGGCTATCGACTGCTGTAACACTGTCGAATGTGTGCAGGGTTCCGATGCCACCCCCGTCAGTATCACGTACAAGCGCACCAACTGCCAGTCGACCGTTGGATCGGCGGTTCGCGTGCGCAGCAGCTCGACGGCAACAAGTGGGCGAAGCTGACCCGCGACGGCAGCAAGGCGGGCCCCGGTACGCTTAGGGTCTGGCGGGCCCCGCGATCGACCGTTGGAAACTCGACATTCAGATGGTGGGTCTGGCGGGCCCCGGTACGCTTAGGGAGGTGGAAATCAGCGCGGACGGCAACAAGTGGGCGAAGCTGACCCGCGACGGCAGCAAGGCGATCTGGGGGATCGCGGGCAAGGAGGCGAAGGAGGTTTTGGGCGCGAAGAAGGCGATGAGCGTTCGCCTCACTGCGTTGCACACCCTCGAGAAGATCACCCTCGAAAAGGTCCTTCCTGCCGACTGGAAGCCCATGACGCTGTATTCTTCCAAGACCAACTTTAAAAAGCTCATGGCCGAGGCTAAGTAGATATTTGATTGAACAAGAATACGGTAAGATGGCTGAATGCTAGGGTACTTTTGAGAGGAGATACTTTAGCGGCTAGGAGGGGAATGGGTCAGCGACAAGGGAATGTGACTAAGAAATTCTCTTTGCTTGTTTTGTGTCGTTCATTCTGATAATTGTGTTACCTGAGTATCAGTCTACACACAAAAAAAATCCAAACCACGGAATCAGGTAACTCCTTAGTGATGCCTTGACCAGCCTCACGACACCTCTGCAATCTGGTTATTCTGTGCCCCATTTGCGCAACCCTCCTGTTAAAATCTACGGTACGGTATAATACACCAAGGGAGAGAGCTGCGGAGCAAAATTCCTTACGGTACTTGTATACGGTAGTTGTTTAGAAAGAGCATTACAGTCCTAGCATATTGGTAGCAATCTAGAACCTGCTTTGGAGGCACCTCAAGAAGTAACCACATATCTACTGCTTTGCTCTGCCCGGTTATCAGCATGTCGAGCAGTACCGCCCTACTGGTATCGCTCTAGAACCTTCTCAATGAGAAGTGAGAAGGCAGCAAAGCCAGCACACCCCATGCATGCTGCTTGCGGGCCCGCTGCAGGGAAAGGCAGTGAGAAGGAGGTAGAAGGGGGGCGAGAAGGGAGTGGGAGAAGAACATGAGTTTCCTGGCATGCCTAAAGGAACGGGAAAGGCAGCAAGACCAGCACACACCCCATGCATCCTGCTTGCGCGCCCGCTGCAGTCAATGAGTGGGGTAGGGGTGAGGAAGGGGAACCATGGAAGAGGGGAGAAGGGAGATGGAGAGTTGGTGTTGCGGCACGTCCTGAAAGACAGGATAGTCAGGGGGTGGGGTGTGGTGGGATGCTGTGTGGTGTGGTGGGATGCGGTTATCTGGCTGACGTCCCACCTCTAGCGGACAGCGCTCCTCCCGTGACACAGCTGGAAATGGCTATGTTGACCTCATCATGCCTCGCCCTCATCATGCGTCGCCCTCATCATGTGTCGCCCTCATCCTGCCTCGCCCTCATCCTGCCTCGCCCTCATCATGCCTCGCCCTCATCATGCCTCACCCTCGCCTTCTCCGCCATGCACTCTGATGCCGAAAACATCGCTCCCATGACTGCCAGTGGTGGCTTCGCATCGCTGGAATTGCCCCCCCCGTGACGCAGCCGGCAATGACAGTGTTGACCTCATCATGTGTCGCCCTCGCCTTCTCCGCCATGCACTCTGATGCCGAGAGTACCCTTTTCACCGTACGCACACCGTAACCAAACAACCCACCTCTGGCTGACAGCGCTCCCCCCGTCACACAGCCAGCAATGACGGTGTTGACCTCGTCATGCCTCGCTCTCGCCTTCTCCGCCATGCACTCTGACGCTGAGAAGATCGCTCCCATCGCTGACAGTGGTGGCTTTGCATACCTGGAATTGCATTCACTCACCTCTAGCTGAGAGCGCTCCTCCAGTGACACAGCCAGCAATGACGGTGTTGACCTCATCATGCCTCGCTCTTGCTTTCTCAGCCATACACTCTGATGCCGAGAAGATCGCCCCCATGACGGCAAAGGTCTTGCCTGTGTGCCAGCTGCGCTGCGCCATCTGCCTGGAGTCAAGGGCGGATAAGGGGATGGGCAGGAGGAGGCAGCACAGGAGGCAAGGGTGACGATCGCCATGCACTCTGGTGCCGAGAAGACCGCTCCCATGATGGCAAAGGTCTTGCCCCTGTGCCAACTGCACTGGGCCATCTGCCTGGGATGGGAGCAGGCAGCGACCGAAGGAAGAGCCATAGACAAAGGATAGTTGGGTGCGTGAGCTCTCTGCTGAGATAATGGCTCCCATGACGGCAAAGGTCTTGCGGTGAGTGAAGGGGAGACACACACACAAGCGCACATACGCACACACATACAAGAGACAAAGGGGAGGTCACAGAGAAGATTGCTCCCATGGCTGCAAAGGTCTTGCCTGTGTGCCAGCTGCGCTATGCCATCTGCCTGGAGTGAAGGGAACGGGATTCGAGGGGAACCAACAACAGTGGGAAGGGAACAAACATGCACATATACGCATGGCTTAATGTCAGTCAATCACACAAGGCTATACGCAGACAATACGTCAGGTGATACGTGTCAAGCCTTACTGAACCAGGCGTGTTACTTGGCAGGACAGAACCGACCCACACCCACACACACATGTGAACGCATCACATGCAGCATAGCACTCATTTGAACGCATCACTGCACTGCACCATGCCACTCACTTGAAGCCATGCACCAGCTGCTGCTGCCGTGTGCTCATCTCCTCCTCATGCAGAGGCTGGTCCAAGACATGTCACATGTCAAGACGGCACTGCATTCACACAAAGTCCCCCTATCACTGCGTGGCCTTTTGAAGGCACTCACTTGAAGCCATGCACCAGCTGCTGCCGCGTGCTCATCTCCTCCACATGCACGGGCTGGTGAATTCCCACATGAAGGCAGCACCGCACCTCTCTTCTCCCCCCTCTCCCCCCCCCACACACACATGTGAACGTTTCACTGAAGCAATACTCTTACTTGAATGCATCACTGAAGCAATACTCTTACTTGAATGCATCACTGAAGCAATACTCTTACTTGAATGCATCACTGAAGCAATACTCTTACTTGAATGCATCACTGAAGCAATACTCTTACTTGAATGCATCACTGAAGCACGGCACTCAGTTGAATCTATGAACCAGCTGTTGCCGTGTGCTCATCTCCCCACATGCAAGGGCAGATGGGTGCCCATGTCAAGACGGCACCACATTCACACAGACTCCCACTGATCAATGCATGGGCTGCACATGCCACTCACTTAAAGCCATGCACCAGCTGCTGCCGCGTGCTCATCTCCTCCACGTGCAGAGGCTGATCCAATGCGCCAAATAGCAGGCCCATCATCACCCCCATGCCGCCTCCTGTAACGAGGAAGGTACGAGGGATAAAAGAACATCACGCGTGTGCAGAACAACAGGATAAAAGGTCAACAGTGGGGGGGACAGCAGGAGAAATGGTTTAAAGTGCGGGGGAAGCAACAGGATTGCAGGTTTAGGAGGTGCGGAGGAACAACAGGAGCAAGGATTTAGGGTGTGTAAGAGCAACAGGAGTAAGGGATTAGAAAACAGCATGTATTCATGTCCTCTTCATGCAAGGACTGGTCCAAGGCGCCAAACAACACACTCATCATCACTCGCCCATGGCGCCGCTGGTAACGGCTTCTTTGCATGCCACAATGGTTCATCATCTCCTCTCCTCCGGTGTGGTGTGGGCAGCTTGACTGGTTGAATGATTCTTTGTTGTGACACAATTGGATGTGACTATGCTGCTGCAACATGACTCTTCCATAACTCCGCTGATAACGGTTCGCACGCCGCAGTGGTTCTTCATCTCCTAACCCGCCATCTCATCTGGTGTGGTATGGGCAGCGTGACTGAACGGCGCTTTGACTGCTGTGACACTAACGAATGTGACTATGGTTCAATAATCATGACTCACTCACCCATAACGCCGCTGATAACGCTTCGCACGCTGCAGTGGTTCATCATCTCCTGGGCGCCCATCTCCTCCGGTGTGGTATGGGCTGCTTGGCGGAACAGCGCCTCAGCCTGCTGTGACACTAGCGAATGTGAATATGCTGCAGCAACAGGCGAGTAATTTCAACGACACGCACTCACCCATAACGCCGCTGATAACGGTTCGCACGTCGCAGTGGTTCATCATCTTCTGACCCCCCATCTCCTCCGGTGTGGTGTGGGCATCTAGACTGTGCTTTTGCCTGCTGTTCCACTATCGAATGTTACTATACAACAATCACAGGAAAGCACCTTTCAACAGCACGCACTCACCCATAACGCCGTTGATAATGGTTCGCACACTGCAGTGTTTCATCATCTCCTAACCCGCCATCCCATCTCCTCCGGCGTGGACAGCTTGACTGAACGGCACCTTGAACGGTTGTGACACTATCGAATGTGACTATGATGCAATCACACGGGATCACCTTTCTACAGCACTCACCCATCACGCCGCTGATGACCGTTCGCACGCCGCAGTGGTTCATCATCTCCTGAGCCGCCATCTCCTCCGGTGTGGGCATCTTAAACGGCGCTTTGGCGGCCTGCGCGTTCCCCGCTTGCGGCTCTGCCGGAGCGCCTCCGCTCGCCTCTGGCGGCGTCGCGGCAGATGCGGCGAGACCGTCGGATTGAGTGGACTGTGAGGACGACATGGCGATCCGACCGTTGATCTGACTGTGTCTTTGGAGCGGCGAAAGCGGGCAGTTGATCTGACCACCTGTGGGTCGACTCAGAAGTCGACTGGACCAGCGAATGCCGTAAGATCGGGCGGGCAAAGCATGTGAACGAAGGAATGCCGAAAGCGCTGGTCAATCCGATTGGCTGGAAGCGGTCGAACAGCTAACGGCTGTTTAGATCAGATGATACAAGCAGGAGCCGTCGATCGCATCGCGTCGCGTCGCGTCGCGCGGAGGAATCAGGTTACGAGGACACGGGTTTGCGGATCACAAGGACTGAAATCTGAAGAGCACAAAGGCTTCAGAATCAGGCTGGTTAGGACTGAATCGGCAGATTTGGGCAGATTTGGGCAGATTTGGGCAGATTCGGGCAGATTCGGGTAGATTCGGGCAGACTCGGGCAGGTTCGGGCTGAAACAGTTCTGACTCGATCACGGGGAGGTTGTGCGGATCAGGGCTATTGCCTTTTGGATCAACTAGTATCCTGCGAATCGTGCCTTAGGATCGAGGCTATGAGCCTGTGAATGCGCGGATTGGATCGAGGCGCAGTAGCCGGTTTTGCGGATTTGAAGGATAGCGGTCGCGGGTCGCGAGACTAGAGGCACAGTTGGTTGCGTACGGTGCAGATGGAGGGTGGAGGCGATTCGACGCGGCGGGCTTGTTAGAGATTCGACCCGAGTGCGTTCCGCAAGGTGGGGAGAGATGGCGCGGAGCGACGCGGGGCGACGTGGGGCGGCGCGGAAGAACGCGGAATGGCGCGGAGTGATGTGGAACGACGGGAAACCAGTGGTGCTGAGCGTACCGGCAGGACGAGAAGTCCCGCGCGAGGCGAGTGGGCAAAGAGCAGAGGCGTGGGTTGCGTTGGTGGAGATATCAAGGTGCAGGAGGCGGGGAAAGTGAAGGGGGAAGCAGAAATCGATATAAGCAGCGGAGTTGATATATTTTAGAGACTCGTACATTGTAACACTGTAACCAAGGATAAAATTCAGCGATATCGCTGTAGCGCGTACGCGAAGGCCAATACCTTCTCAGGCTGAAACCTTGTCAGAATGCGTTTTGGTTTACACGTTCTCTGTCAATCTGAGCCGTCGATCGAGCAAGCGCACGATATCCCAAGCCTCGAGAATACCAACAACTAGGAATCTCAACGGACAGTGTCTCGAGAATCCCAAAACCTGCCAGACCCCCAGAACTGCAATAGCACACCATCAACCAGACCAGACCCTCCAATCCCCTGACCATCGTAAAGCCTCTCCCCTCTCCCGCCTCTCCTCGTTACACTCTCTTTTCCTAGGTTCACACAGGTAGGTACATGGATCAACCGCAGAGAGGCAACTTCTATGCCCGCATTTACTTTTCGTAAAGCGAAGCCCTCGATCAATCAGAGAAACCTCAGAGGAACTTGCAGCGCGCAGCGGTTTTTTAATTGGAGTTTCTAGGTTTTCTCAGGGTTTGCTGTAGTGCCAAGTAGAGTTTCTAGAACAATCTTCGATCTTTCGCAATAGCATTTTCCCTCGGTGTTTTGCCGAGAAATTGAAGGCCTGTGTAGTGTAGTTTGTTTTCGTAAAACCCGAGGTGGAGAAACCGGCAATTAGACAGTTGTAAGTTTCGTGATCTGAACCCTGCTCTCATTTCCGAAACGACTGTTGGTTAAGGAATTGAACAGCACACAGTCAGACACGAAGAGATGGAAAGGCCGGAAGGGGAAGCGAGAGAGGAGATGAGAGAGGGAGTGAGCGAGGAGGGGAGGACGGGAGCGAAGGAGGGAGAGAGGGAGGATGGGGAGGAGGAATGGCATCAAGCGACAAGACAACGACCGCGATCAGGGATGCAGCAACAACGCGGAGGGGGAGGAAGGAGGGGGGGAAGAGGAGGAAGGGGGGAGGGAGGAAGGGGAGGGAGAGGCGGATGGGGGGAAAGAGGGAGGGGGGAAGGAGGAAGGGGGGGAAGAGGCGGATGGGGGGAAAGAGGAAGGGGGGAAAGAGGGAGGGGGGAAGGAGGAAGAGGATATGGTGGGAGAGGAGGGGGGCAATGGGGTTTGCAACAAGGGCAGCAGCCACGTCAGCAGCAGCGCGAGCAACAGCAGCAGCAGCAGCAGCAGCAGCAGCAGCAGCAGCAGCAGCAGCAGCAGCAGCAGCAGCAGCAGCAGCAGCAGCAGCAGCAGCAGCAGCAGACACAGCAACAACAGCCGCAGCAACAACAGCCGCAGCAACAACAGCAGCCACATCAACAGCAGGCACAAGCACAGCAAGCAGCCCCTCCGTCTGCCTGGAATCGCCACGTGTGGGGCCGACCTGCTGAGCAAGCAGTGCCAGCCGCGCAGCAACAGGCGACAGTCGCACAACAACAGGCGACAGCAGCGCCGCAGCAGGCGACAGCAGCAGCGCAGCAACAGGAAGCAACACAACCAGACGCATCAGCGCAACAGAAACAGCAGCCACAGCAAGAAGCCCCTCCCTCTGCCTGGAAACGCAACGTGTGGGGTCGACCTGCTGAGCAAGCAGTGCCAGCCGCGCAGCAACAGGCGACAACAGCGCCGCAACAGGGGACAGTCGCAGAGCAACAAGCGACAGTCGCAGAGCAACAGGCGACAGTCGCAGGGCAGCAGGCGACAGCCACGCAGCAAGTGGCAGCACTAGGGAAGCAACCATTACCAGCAACGCAGCAACAGGCGACAGCCACGCAGCAAGATGCAGCATCAGGGCAGCAGCAGGCGACAGCACATGTTCTGCCAGAGGTAGCGGCAGCACAAGCACAGGCGGCGACGCACACAGAGGCCGAAGCGCAGGCACAACAGGCGGCGACGCACGCGCAGCAGACAGCAGCGCAACAGGCAGAAGCGCAAGCACAGGGAGAAGCACCACCACACGGAGAAGAACAAGCACAAGTACAAGCAGCTGATGAAGTGCAAACAGAGGTATCAGCGCAACCCCTTGCTGCTCCTCCGGCTGCGTCCGCTTCTCATGTTGCTACAACTGCTGCTCCTCCTCCTACTCTTGCTGCTTCTGCTGCTGTCCCTCCTGCAGCAAGTGCAGCCTCTCCTGCTGCCAGTGCTGCCCCTTCTACCTCTGCTTCTCCTCCTCCCTCACAACCTCCCAACACCCCTCCCCAGCGCACGCCTCCCAAGCACACCCCTCCGAAGTCCTGGGCTGCTCTACTTGCCTCAAAACCGACACCACAGCAGCAACAGCAACAGCAGCAAGGGCAATTGCAGCAGCAGCAGCAGCAGCAGCAGCAGCAGCAGCAGCAGCAGCAGCAGCAGCAGCAGCAGCAGCAGCAGCAGCAGCAGCAGCAGCAGCAGCAGCAGCAGCAGCAGCAGCAGCAGCTGCAGCAGCAGCAGCAGCAGCAGCAGCAGCAGCAGGAACAACATGTACCCTCATCCCCACCACCACCACCAGCTAGTGTGCCGTTGCCAGGCGTTGAGGGGGACACTTCCACGGCCATATCCGCTGCTGCTACTGCTAATGCTGCACCTGTGCCTGCTGTCACTGCTGCTGCGGAGCAACCATCAACCGCAGCGGCAGCAGCAGAGGGAGCAGTGCAAGCATCGCCAGCAGCAGCAGCACCAACAACAGACTCGCAACCGCCGCCACCAGCACCAGCAGCAGTGGTCCCACCACCAGCTACAGCAGCAGTGCCAGCAACACCACCACAAAAACCAGCAGCAGCAACAGCAGCACCAGCGTCAGCAGCATCACCACAAACACGAGCAGCAGCAGCAGCACCACCACCACCACCAGCAGTAGTCCCGGTGCTGTTGGGTTCCCAGCCCCTAGTGGGGCGAGCAGCACTGCCCATCGCTCCCAGGGGTCTGGTCAACCGAGGCAACCTCTGCTTCCTCAACTCCACGCTTCAGGTACTTTCCCTCCTTGCCCTTGTAGCCCCCATTCACGTATGCCCCTCCTTGCCCTTAAAGGCTGCCCTACCATCTCGGGGTGCTCAAGCCCCTAGTGGGGCGAGCAGCACTGCCCATTGCTCCCAGGGGGCTGGTCAACCGAGGCAACCTCTGCTTCCTCAACTCCACGCTTCAGGTACTGCCACTCTTTCCTCTCGCTGCCGTCGTTGCCCCCATACACATGTGCTCACGCCCTAGTGGGGCGAGCAGCAGTGCCTACTGTATTACTCCCAGGGGGCTGGTCAACCGAGGCAACCTCTGTTTCCTCAACTCCACGCTTCAGGTACTGCACCTGGTTTCCCTTGTGTTGCCTTCGTTGCTCTCTTCTCCCCCAATCATGTGTGCTGGTACTATTGTTGCTTCCTCACATCTGTTTGCTGTCGTTGCTTCCTCAGCAGCACTAGCCAGCCAGCAGAGTTTTTTTTCTTTCCGTACTCCAGTTATTTCATTCAGTTTTTTCGTAAGCGATTCTTGAATACAATACAATTGTGTATGCAATGTATTCTCCGTCCAATCTTCTGCGCCACGTCTTTTGAGGCGCCTCGATTGTGTATGCAATGCATTCTCTGTCCAATCTTCTGCGCGACTCTACAGGCCCTCGCTGGTTGCCCTGCTTTCCTTTCTTCAATTCTAAACCATCTGTCCGGATTTCTCTCCCCTTCTCATCTTCGTTCCGTACTTTGCTTACTCAAATCTGTTTCGCAGGCCCTCGCTGGTTGCCCTGCGTTCGCTCATCTTTTGAGGGACATCTCAGCATCCCTCGCACCAAACCTTCTGGTGTGTGTGTGGGAGAGGGGAGGGGATAGGGGAGCGGGGGCGTAGGGGAAGATTGAATGGGAGGCGGTGGAGACCGTTGGGCCTTTGATGTTGCGTTGTTTAAACTTTTGATTGAACAAATGCAAAGTCGACTGCTTCATTTTGTTTGCCCAAGCGTCTGCTCCCGCTGTTGCTCTCTCTTTCTTTCCCAGGCCCGCCACTCCACGCTGACTGAAAGCACTGGTTGGCTTCTGGAGGGAGTTTTGAGGCGCCCATTAAGTGGTCTGCTTCTTTCTTTCTGTCTGCCCTATCTTTCTCTCCCGCTGCCCCTCTTTCCCTTTCCCAGGCCCGCCACCCCGCGCTGAAAGCGTTGGTTGATTTCTGGAAGGAGTTTGAGGTGCCCATCAAGTCATCATCTACAGGTCCTGTAGCAGCAGTGAGGCTTGGAGGGGCGGCTGTAGTAGGAGCAGTGGCTGTAGCTGGACTTATTATGTTTCCCATTCCCTGCCTCTGTCCCTTTCCCGTTCCCAGGCCCGCTACCCCGCGCTGAAAGCGTTGGTTGATCTCTGGAAGGAGTTTGAGGTGCCCATCAAGTCATCATCTACAGGCCCTGTATCTCATTTCTCTTTCCCTCTCCCTTATCCTTCCCCTCTCCCTTATCCTTTCCCTTTCCCAGGCTCGCCACCCCGCTCTCAAGGCACTGGTGGACTTTTGGAAGGAGTTTGAGGTGCCCATCAAGTCATCATCTACAGGTCCTGTAGCAGCAGTGAGGCTTGGAGGGGCGGCTGTAGCAGGAGCAGCGGCTGTAGCTGGTTCTGCTGCTGCTGCTGGTGCTGTTGGGGAGGATGGGGCGTGGGGGAAGGTTGGGGGGAAGGGCGGAGGTAGAGGAAAGGGGGGAAGAGGGGCGGCAGGAGCAGGAGTTGGGGGAATGGGGGCAGGGGCAGGAGTTGGGGGAATGGGGGCAGGGGCAGCGGGAGGGAGAGGGGCAGGGAGAGGGATAGCTGGTTCTACTGCCACTGCTGCTGCGCCTGTTCCTGCTGGTGCTGCTGCTGCTGGTGTTGCTGGCAGCACACGAGGTGTATCGTTTGCGTCTGCACTGACAGCAACGGCTGCATCAGCAACAGCAGCAGCGGCTGCAGCAGCAGGGGGTGAGGAGGGGTTGATAGCGGTAGCAGTGGGGCGAGCAGTGGTGCCGACTATGTTTGAGGGGCTGCTGTCACAGTTCAACCCCCAACACCACAGGAACGGAGTGCACCTGAGGTGAGTTTGAGCATTTTCTGTATGTGGGGCGATGAAGCTAATGGTGAGGGGGGGGGGATTAGAAAGGGGTCTAAATCGGTGGCAGTGGGGCGAGCAGTGGTGCCGACTATGTTTGAAGGGCTGCTGTCGCAATTCAACCCGCAGCACCACAGAAACGGGGTGCACTTGAGGTAGGGTTTTGTATAAGGGGAGGGGAGAGAGGGGTTGGGGGAGTGGAAGGGGTGTAAGTCGGGTTTATTGGGGCGAGCAGTCGTGTCTTGCATGTTTGAAGGGCTGCTGTCGCAGTTCAAGCCGCAGCACCACAGGAACGGGGTGCACTTGAGGTAGGGTTTTGTATAAGGGGAGGGGAGAGAGGGGTTGGGGGAGTGGAAGGGGTATAACTCAGTGTTAGTGGGGCGAGCAGTGGTGCCGTCTATGTTTGGAGGGGAGGGGTTGGGGAAGAGTGGAAGGGGTATCAATCAGGTGGAGTGGGGTGAACAGTGGTGCTGTCCATGTTTGAAGGTCACCTGTCCTGTGTTTTTTTTTCCTCTTTTTGCTCTGCTTGAGCAAGAGGAGGCTCAGGAGTTTCCAACCTTCCTGACCTGACCTACCGTTTGCCCCTCTTTTTTTCCCCCTTCTCTTGTATCGTTTTTATTTTATTATTTGACAAAAAAAAAAAAAACAGGCAAGAAGACGCCCAGGAGTTTCTGACCTTCCTGACCGACCGCCTGCACGAAGAGCTCATTAAAGTCGCATCTCAGCTTAGTCACAGCAGCAGCACGAGGCTGGGAGGGGGAGCAGGAACAGGAGCAGGCGGAGGAGGGGGAGAGGGAGAGTGTGGGGAGGAAGAGGATCCAGAGGAGTGGCAGACGGTGGGGCCGAAGCAACGGGCGGCAGTGACTCGGACCCATGCGGTGCAGTCGTCCTGTCTGAGCGAGATCTTTGGCGGGCAACTGCGGAGTGAAGTGCGGTCAGCAGGTGAGAGTGCAGGGGAGGGCGTGTCTGGGCTGGGTTGTTTTTGCTTTTTCGTCCCTGCCGCATTTTCAGCTGGTCACTTGCGCGAGGGAGGGAGAGAGGCAGGCAGGCAGAGCAGCAGTGACGAGGGCCCATGCGGTGCAGTCATCATGTCTGAGCGAGATATTCGGCGGGCAGCTGAGGAGTAAAGTGTGGTCAGCAGGTGAGAGAGAGAGTGTGTGTCACAGTGTCTCTGGGCTGGATCTTGTCGCCCTGCTAGTAGTGCCTGCTGCGTTTTTGGCTGGTCGTTTGAGAGCGAAGGAAGGAGATGGGCAGGCAGGAAGGCCGTAAGGCAGGCAGTGACGAGGGCTCATGCAGTGCAGTCGCCCTGTCTGAGCGAGATATTCGGCGGTCAGCTGAGGAGCGAAGTGCGGTCAGCAGGTGAGAGAGTGTGTTATGAGGGGAGGGAGACCACATGCGGTGCCGTTGCCCTGTCTGAGCGAGATATTCGACAGCGGCGGTGAGCTGAGGAGTGAAGTGCAGTCAGCAGGTGAGAGTTAGTGAGTGAGTGCCCAGAGCATGTGCCTGTGTGGGGCTGTCGCTGTGGCTGCTGGCCTGGCATGGCTTGTCTGCCTGTTGCATTTGAAGTGGACACCAGTTAGGTGCCATTGTCTGTTGCATTTGAAGTGGACACCAGTTAGGTGCCATTGTCTGTTGCATTTGAAGTGGACACCAGTTAGGTGCCATTGTCTGTTGCATTTGAAGTGGACACCAGTTAGGTGCCATCATCTGTTGCATTTGAAGTGGACACCAGTTAGGTGCCATTGTCTGTTGCATTTGAAGTGGACACCAGTTAGGTGCCATTGTCTGTTGCATTTGAAGTGGACACCAGTTAGGTGCCATTGTCTGTTGCATTTGAAGTGGACACCAGTTAGGTGCCATTGTCTGTTGCATTTCTGACGACTTTTGAGTCGTCTCAAATGGCATGGCTTGTCTGCCTGTTGCATTTCTGAGCTTCTCAGCCAATGCAGTTGTCCTGTCTGAGCGAGATCTTTGGGGGGCAGCTGAGGTGTGAAGTGCGGTCTGTGACGGTGCAGCCTTTCTCCCTGCTGCCGCTGGACGTAGCATGGGATTGAATGAGATCCGTTCTTAGTGTCGTATCTCCGACCCTACCTCCCACCTCCCCTCTGCACGCAGGAAGCATTCCGCAGCCGTGCAGCCCTTCTCCCTTTCAACCCTGTGTGCCCCTCGCCCCACCCCCGCTTCAGGCAGTAAGCCATCAGCGACGGTGCAGCCCTTCTCGCTGCTACAGCTGGACATAGCATCTGACCGAATCACATCAGTGGAGGAGGCGCTCAAAGCCTTTGCTGGACCCATGAACCCTACCCGTCTTCCCTCCCCCACCCCATACACCCGCACACACTCACTCTCCCCTTAACCCACCCCAGGCAGCAAGCCATCAGCCACGGTGCAGCCCTTCTCGCTGCTACAGCTGGACGTAGCATCGGATCGAATCAGATCCATGGAGGAGGCACTCAAAGCCTTCCCTCCCCCCTTTCCATCCTGGTCCCCCATCTCCATCCCGTTTGCCTGTCTCCCTCACCCCGCTGCAGGCAGCAAGCCATCAGCCACGGTTCAGCCTTTCTCCCTGCTACAGCTGGACATAGCATCTGACCAAATCACATCAGTGGAGGAGGCGCTCAAAGCCTTTGCTGGACCCATGAACCCTACCCGTCTTCCCTCCCCCACCCCATACACCCGCACACACTCACTCTCCCCTTAACCCACCCCAGGCAGCAAGCCATCAGCCACGGTGCAGCCCTTCTCGCTGCTACAGCTGGACATAGCATCGGATCACATCAGATCCGTGGAGGAGGCACTCAAAGCCTTCCTTCCCCTCTTTCCATCCTCTTCCCCATCTCCATCCTGGTCCCCTTCTCCATCCTGTTCTCCTGTCTCCCTCACCCTGCTGCAGGCAGCAAGCCATCAGCCACGGTGCAGCCCTTCTCCCTGTTGCAGCTGGGCATAGCATCGCACCTTTGCCCAAGCAAACAAATTCCTTTTCCCCCTCTTCTGCCTTCCCCCACTGCAGGCAGCAAGCCATCAGCGACGGTGCAGCCCTTCTCGCTGCTACAGCTGGACATAGCATCGGACCGAATCAGATCCGTGGAAGAGGCACTCAAAGCCTTTGCTGCACCGGAGGTGGTGGAGGGGTATCGACCCAGCAATGCCAAGGTATGGAGAGCTTTATATGTGTGGCATGGCATGGCATAGCATGGCATTGCATAGCATTGGATCAAATCAAATTGAATCAGATCCGTGGAAGAGGCACTCAAGGCCTTTGCTGTGCCTGAGGTGGTGGAGGGGTATTGACCCAGCGATGCCAAGGTGGGTGTGTGGGAGCGAGTGTGTGTGTTTGGAGGGAAGGGGAGGCGTGGGACGTGTGACTGTGTGTGGGAGAGAGTAAGAGTGTGTCAAGATATTCGTTTTACCTCTCCCCCTCATGCTGCACCTCATGCGATTCTCCTTCTCCACCTCCCCCCCTTTTCGCATGCCCTTCTCTCCCAGCCCAACCAGACGGTGCTGGCATCCAAAACGGTCAAAATATCCGCGCTCCCCCACGTGCTGGTGCTGCACCTCATGCTCTTTTCCATCTCCCCTCTCGTGCCTCTCTGTATCTTTACCACCAGCCCAACCAGACGGTCCTGGCATCCAAGACGGTCAAAATCTCCGCCCTGCCGCACGTGCTGGTGCTGCACCTCATGCTCTTTTCCATCTCCCCTCTCGTGCCTCTCTGTATCTTCACCACCAGCCCAACCAGACGGTCCTGGCATCCAAGACGGTCAAAATCTCCGCCCTGCCGCACGTGCTGGTGCTGCACCTCATGCTCTTTTCCATCTCCCCTCTCGTGCCTCTCTGTATCTTCACCACCAGCCCAACCAGACGGTCCTGGCATCCAAGACGGTCAAAATCTCCGCCCTGCCGCACGTGCTGGTGCTGCACCTCATGCGATTCTCCTTCAGCCACTCCACTGCCGGCAGCGTCAAGATCCACAAGCCTGTCTCATTTCCTCTCTCCCTCACTCTCTCAAGGGATCTCCTCTTCTCCTCCTCCCCTTCTGTCGAGGTATGGCCTCTCACCTCCTACCCCTCTCTACCGCCCTCCACCCATTTAGTCTCTTCTCTTCCTTCCACTGTCAAGATCCACAAGCCCGTCTCCTTTCCTCTCTCCCTCACTCTCTCAAGGGACCTCCTCTTTTCCTCCTCTCCCTCAGCCGAGGTATGGCCTCTCACCTTCTACCCTTCTCTGCCGCTCTCCACCCATTTGCTCGCTTCCTTCCACTGTCAAGATCCACAAGCCCGTCTCATTTCCTCTCTCCCTCACTCTCTCACGGGACCTCCTCTTCTCCCTTCCATTCCCTTGCATCACCAGGAACGGCGATACTCCCTCTTTGCCACCGTAGTGCACCAGGGCAGGGACCCTTCTTCAGGCCATTACACTGCCGATGTTCGCCAGCCGGACGGATCCTGGCTTAGATTTGACGACGCGCGGGTTTTGTCTGTTTCTGCCAAGCGGGTGCTACAGGAGCAGGCGTATCTGCTGCTGTACCAGAGGGAAGGTGGAAAGCAGTGAGTGGAAAGCTCGTTTGGGGAAAGGGAGAACTTGTGGCGGCCTTGCATCGGCCCAGGAGCCACAGAGGTTTTTCCTGTTCTTGGCGGGTTCTTGCTACAGGAGTGGGCATATCTGCTGCTGTGCCAGAGGGAAGGAGGACAGCAGAGAGTGGAATGCAGAGAGTGGACGGACGGAGCTTATTTGCGAAAGGGAAATTCGTGGAGGTCGTGTAACAGATGGCAGTATCTGTGCTACAATCGATTGAAGATTACCAATTTGATTGTCTCTAAGCTTGACGCAGCAAGTACCCATTGGTTGCACGCATGAGCAATGCCAATGCTGGCTGTGACCAAGTGGAAAATTAAGGAAATACCACCAGTACTACCACATGTAAGAAGTTTGTATTTTCCAAAGATGTATCCATCTGCCATCTACGGTATTGTTGGTTGGTTGCAAAGACGAGCATCTCTTTGGCGTGAGGATTGCACAAATAAGGCAGAGGTGTAGTGCGATGAGTGGAAGCATCACTGCTAGGTTGCTTCTTAGATGTGGCATTTTTTTGTTGACTGGAACTAAGGCAAAACAATCATCAATATGGAATCCCAAGCATACAAGAGCATTTCTTTAGTCCCAGCACCATCACACTCCCCCGCTCCCCAAACCCACTCCCACGCTAACACGTTCCCTTTCGGCTAACCCACTTCCCTCCCAGCCGCTACCCCCTAGCATCCAGCAAGCACCACGTTGCCCTCCTTCAAATTCGCCTCGTTCGAAGTTGTTCCTTGACGAAACCAAGGCTTTCAAGGCGACGATCAAACTCATCTACTTAGCCTCAGCCATGAGCTTCTTGAAGTTGCTCTTGGAAGAATACAGCGTCATGGGCTTCCAGTCGGCGGGAACGACCTTTTCGAGAGTGATCTTCTCATGGGTGTGTCCCGCAGTGAGGCGAACGCTCATCGCCTTCTTCGCGCCCACAACCTCCTTCGCCTCCTTGCCCTTGATCCCCCAGATCGCCCTGTTCTCGTCGCGGGTCAGCTTCACCCACTTGCCATCCGCGCTAAGCTCGACCGCGATAAGCGTACCGGGCCCGGCCAGACCCACCATCTGGATGTTGAATTTCTCCGCGGTAGAGTTGCTGCGCACGCGCACCGCCGATCCGGCGGTGGAAACGCAGTTGGTGCGCTTGTACGTGACGTTAACAGGGGCGGCTTCCGAACCCTGCACGATTTTCGCCCATGAGACGGCGGAGAGGGAAATCTGCTTCCCCTCCGCCTTCGTCGCGCCGACGACGCGGACGGTGACAGTGGCCTTGCCACTGCGGCAGCGCTTCGTGTCGTTGCTGCAGATCACCTTGAAGCACGCGCCGCATCGCTTGCCGAAGAGTGCGTCAGGAAGCTTCGCGGTGAGCCCCTTGCCGAAGTAAGGGTTAGCGTTGTAGTTTCCGTAGTACGCGCATGTGGAATTCTTTCCTTCGCCCGCGCCCTTGCTCAGCCTCGCCGTCGCCACTCCGATCGCGCTGTTGGCGAATTTTGTAGCATTTACTGTCTTCGTCGCGTTGGCAGGCGCGGCAGCCTTTGCAGTCGCGTTAGCAGGCGCTGTCGCGTTGGCGGGAGCCGCAGCGGCAGAGACGCGCGCAGGGGCGGAAAGGAGCATCGCGGAGGCTAAGATGACGACAAGAAAAGTTGCCTTAGCGAGTGTCTGGCCGAAGAAAGTCATTTTCACTTCTTAGTGTCATAGACGAGGCTGAAAAGGTCGAGATAGTGATATCAATCTGCTTCCAAGATAAGAGGCTGAAGATGTGTGGAATCGTTGATGAGATGAGCGGCAGCAGTAGCTCCTTATGTACCTCAAAAATCCTGCTTCTAGGGATTGTGCCGTGAGTGGAGCAGATGACTTTGCTGTTGATTGAGCTTCGAATTTTGCATTCCGAGTCGCCCGAGTTGCTTGCGAGAAGCTGGGAAGTCAATGGGAATAATTGCAGTTTGGGTGGACGAGTTGGCGAAGCGACTACCAGTAACCCCGTCGCGAACTGTGCTAGAATTTTGTCACGGCGAAAACAGGATACCGACTAGTATCTCGCGAAGTATATCGCAACGCAGAGAGCCCTCACCCACTTGTTTCACTTTCTCGCGTACACGACGGCGGGATAGGCGCGAATCCTTGGTATGGTGTGATTATTGGCTCCACCGCAAACATTACTGGAGTATAGTTAGGCTACATGAACACCTCATTAAAAAAACATGACTATGGGGTGGAATTGTTGTAACCAAGAGTCGCTGTAGCCCTGGCTTTTGTAGACCTACAAGAAAGAGTGCTTAACATGAATGTGGAGTGGAACCACTCTAACCAATGATTTCTGTATCAATCCAGCCCGTTTGCAAACAAACTTTTGCTGCTCGCTGCTCACTCATCCCATCCACCCTGCCTGTTTATTTCAAGGTCTCTTCTTTCATAGCTTCCATACAATCTGTCCCTCCAAACGCCACGTACCTCCTCGGAGCCGTCAACATGACCTGATCTGATACTTCCACCTCAAAGCGCGCTGTGGTGACATGGCGCCGCCGTGGCTGTCTGTACCGCCACGTGTCGCGTGGCAATTGGTCTCCACTACGTCAAAACTCCTGCCTCTAATTGGCCAAAAGGACCCCTCGCTGGCCCTGTGGTCGTTGAGATGGCGCAGGTCTACTGGTGAGTGGGAGAGTGAGAGCGAGTTTGTGTGAAGTATGAGAACAAGTAAGAGTGTGACTGTGACTGTCTGTACGGTATGAGTGTGAGAGAAAGTGAGAATGTCAGTAAGGTGAATGACAGTAAGGTGAGTGCATGTGAGAGTGATAGCGTGATTGTGGGGGGATGATTGTGAAAGTCTGAGAGAGTGAAGTTGTGTTTGTGTTTGTGTTAGAGCGAGTGATCAAGAGATTGAGGTTGAGTGTGTTTTTGTGTGAGGGAGTGGGTGTTTGTGTGGGTCTGTGTGATTGTGAGACGGTGAGTGTACGTGAGTGTGTGCAAACGTGAGTGAGTGAGTGAGTGTGCAAGTGTGAATATAAGAGTGTGTGAGTGAGTGAGCAGAGTACCACCATCACCTTCCCTCACAACCCCTCCCCCCCCTGCCCTCCCCCCCGCCCTCCCTCAGGTATATTGACTAGAGTAGGGCAGTGAAAGAGCTTGGGTTTTCCTCTCGCCTATACAAGACAACAGTGGCCGACACAGTTGCATGGCTGACACAGTTGCATGACACAGGATTGAGCTGAGGGATTGAGCATAGATGACAGAGAGTGAGACAGGATTCACCCTTTGACCTTCACCATTTGGCCTTTGCCCCTCGACCGTATGAGACAACAGTGGCTGACACAGTGGCATGGCTGAGAGTGCACAGGAGAGTGCTGAAGGACTGTTAGGCGCTGACCCTGTGAATTAGGGTAAACACGGAATAACAGTGGGACTGCGCCGCTACCTTTGCTTGCAGATCACCAGGGACAGAGCCGCTCGCACCATTACACTGACTCAGTCACGCATGGTGCAGCAGGTCCTTCAGCGGTTCGGGCTTCAGCACTCCACCACACAACCCTCTCCTCTTGCTGTTGACCACAGACTCACCGGCCCTTTTCTCGACGAGCCCTTTGAGTCCAGTGGTCCCTACGCAGAGCTTGTGGGCTGCCTCATGTACCTGATGACTTGTACTCGCCCGGACCTCGCCTTTCCTCTCAGTGTCCTTTCTCGCTTTGTTGCGACTGGGAGACACCAACCTGTTCACTGGACGGCTGCTGTGATGGTGGCGAAGTACCTGGCGACTACATCAGGCATGGGGCTTGTGCTTGGAGGGACAGGGCCAGTTGTGCTGACCGGTCACTGCGACTCTTGCTACGCCGACTACGTGCAGACCCAGCAGTCTACCCAGGGGTACTGCTTCAGCTTGGGCTCAGGAGCTGTTTCGTGGAGGTTTACTCGGTCGTCGTCTGTGGCACAATCTAGCTCAGAGGCAGAGATATACGCCGGTGCCATGGCTGCGCAGGAGCGTCGCTGGTTGACCTTCTTGCTCACCGACCTTGGTGAGCGGCCTCGCTCTACACCGACCTTGTTCGTTGACAACAAGACCATGATCCTCCTGTGTCGAGAGCCTCGACTGGAGAGCAGAGTGAAGCACATCGACGTGAGGTAATTTCTCATGCGAGGTTGCAGCGATGCGGCCAGGCGCGCTTGGACTTCGTGGCCTCAGCGGCCAACACTGCGGACATCTTCACCAAGGCTCTTCCGCCTCGTGACAACCACAGGTTCTGTCTGCAGTTAGGGCTTGTTGAGGTAGGCCCTCGGTTGCTGTAGTCTGGCCTCTTGTTTCTTGCTGTACTTATATACATACATATACACATATATACACATATATATTTTTGTATATGTGAACTCTTGAACTGGCCTTGTGGCCCATTGCTTGTGCTCAGAATGTGTGGTGACATCCTGAGCTTGCTGTGTCCCTTCTCTTGACTGGTCTTGTGACCACATGCCTATCATGGTTGTTTTGATTCCCCTCACTTAGCCTATGGGGGTGTGTCAAACTGTGTTTGTAGAAATATATATGCTGTAGTGAGTTGCATGTTAGGGGGTACAAGAACTCTCTCGACACTTTTTATCCCCCAACCCCCTTGACCTAATCCATTCATTCCTCCCTTAGTCTCTAAGCTACTTAGTACTTGAAATGACTGGAGTAGGGCAGAGAAAGAGCTTGGGTTTTCCTCTCGCCTATACGAGACAACAGTGGCCGGCACAGTTGCATGGCTGAGAGATCACAGGAGCGAGCTGAGGACGCGTCACAATTGCAACACCGATCCTGTGTAGGATCGGTGTTCACAATGTACAGTCTCTTCGCCAATTGGCGAAAAACATGTATCCCGATTTCGCTTATCTTGACGCGAAGATCGTGACCTTACAGACTGACGAGATCGTATGGCTCGAAATGCCACATCGATCGTGCGATTGGCAGCGAGGGAACCGAAATCGCGCCACCAGTGCCAGCCACGATCGATCGCCGTCGCATACCGTCGGCCACTTCCAATGTGGTAACAGGATGACATCGTCACAAGCTAGGCGGAATTGTACGACGCGCCAGCAAAGCACGGCTCCTGCGTTAGAAGTTGGGTGTACCCTTGGCATGGCCCACTTGCAAATCCGGTCGTGTCCCACTTGGCTCAAAGAAGCAGCCTAACACTGCTCATGCAGATTGAAACCTGTTTTTTATACGCGACGCACACATTTTCGGTGTTCGGTCCCGACCCTCCCCGGTGTTGCAATTGTGACGCGTCCTGAGGGATTGAGCATAGATGACAGAGAGTGAGACAGGATTCACCCTTTGACCTTCACCATTTGGCCTTTGCCCCTCGACCGTATGAGACAACAGTGGCTGACACAGTGGCATGGCTGAGAGTGCACAGGAGAGTGCTAAAGGACTGACAGGCGCTGACCCTGTGATTTAGGGTAGACAGAGATTAACAGTGGCTGACACATTGGCATGGCTGCGGGAACACGGAAGAGGGGAGGAAGTGAGCGTGGGTGACAGATAGACATAGGAGTCGCCCGTGGGATTCGCTTCACTGTAAGCTACCATGATGGCATTGCTGATGGAGAACAGGAGCGAGCTAAATTGGTGTCAGGCTGACCGGCCGAAGGCTCAAGGCGATGTCTTTGTGACGAGAAGACAATGGCAATGGCAAGGTCGCGAGCCAGTGGCATGGATGCGAGGCAATGGAAGGCTGCGAGAGCGCATGAGATATTTAAAGGGGTGACAGGTGCTGGTGCTATGGACGCTTGCTGTGAGCCCTTGCTGATTCTGCATCACAACATGTTTCGAAGCACCACCAAGGTGCGAGGCATTCCTGTGTTGTCCGAATAAGCATTCATCTCTCAGTGAGTGAGGACCTACGAGGGAGACATGCATCTAAAAATCTAGGAGCGGATTGCGGAGGTTAGGTTGACAGAGGCAGATTCTGAGTACCAGAAATAGTTGTACGTTCTAAAGCTTCTAAAAGTGATGTCAAGAATAATATTTCATTACATAGTTATATAGGTGATATTCAAAATACCAGTAGTGGTTTCTGTACCATTCTCTTTTGTCACTATAACGTTCGGCAATTATTGGCGAGTGTTACGGGTGCAATGTATCGAGGTAGCGAGGATTACACTAAGCTGGCAAACGAGTACAAATGTGAGCGAAGGCATGAGCGAACATTTTATAGCGAAACATACAAACGGTAACGCAGTGCGTGCCAGCTAGCTAGTGCGATGTTGGCAACGAGGTTCGGGCTAGTCCCGAAGCGTAGGCCGACCCGGGCCAGTCATGCATGGTTTGGGAAATGTGACGCGCGAAGGCGGCGAAACACCGTTAGCAGTAACGGGCGAAGAAACGGTTGGTATTGTACGCGATGTTGAGATGCGTGGTAAGGAATGCTGAAAAAATCCTTACCCTGCCCCCCTCCCCAAGAAGCCCCTCCGCTACGCGAGGGCGTGTATGTCGCGGAATCCCCGGCTTCGCAGGTTCACTTGGGAGGACAGGGTTGTATTTTATGTAGACCGATCCCGAACTGCTCCCACAATTTTTTCCAGAAGTTGCTGGTAAACTTTGTGTCGCGGTTGCTGATAATTGCAGCTGGTATCCCGTGCAGACAAAC